ATAATAATCCTCCCTTTTTTGACAGTTCACAGAATTCAGATCCAATAATACTTCTTTTTCTTAAAATACACACAAATGTGGAAAGCAAAAAAAATCCTCTTATAAAATGACACTCTTCAAAATGTCTTCTCAGATGTATTTCTTTCAAGATTTAAAAACTTGCAAAGCTTCTTGAACTGTTCAATGTGGCATAGAGAACCTTAGCTCTAAATAAACTGTCATTGATTCCACCCTGGAGAAGGACAACTAAAGGCAGCAAATAAATGAAAATACCTTGTTGTCCTACTTATCTGAGGAGGAAAAAGTTCCTTAGAGAACAGTTGATAAATACATTTACAGAAAGAAAAGTCCTATCACAGTTTCTCTCTTGACCATGTGTGAATTTGCTGAAGAGAAGGAACCTACAAAACCTAGATCTCCCCAGTCAAAACCTAACATTCTATGCCAATTTTGGTCAGTCTAGAGCAGTGGTCACCAACCAGTGGGCCAGGGACCACTGGTTGTCCGTGAGAAAATTTTGGTGGTCTGCAGAGAAATGTCAACCCCAAAGCACCCCCCAAAGCAATTAATCCAGGCTGTGTGGGAACACAAGGCTGCACCACCCACATGGCCTGTGGGAACACAAGACTTGCATTGCTTGCATTATGAACAACATGAGGTAGAGAGGGGAGGGGGAAAAGGGCAGAGGGGGGGGGAACTTGCCCCATTCGCCCCATGTGCCTGGCCTGGCCACTGGGCTGTTTCTTTCTGCTTCTTTTTTCTTCTGCTTTTGGCTGCATGCAAGGAAACAGCAAAGGTCTTTCTTTCTCTCCCCCAAATTCCGCCAGAAATGAGTCTTTGGGACCCTGCAAGGCATCCTGCTCCAAGAGACTGCGCTGGTGCGACAAGTCTCACAAAGATTAATTTCTGGTGGAGTTGGGGGGGAGAGAAAGAAAGACTTCTGCTGCTTCTGTTTTCCTTGCATGAAGCCAAAAGTCTCTCTCTCTCTTTTTCTCTCCCCCAAGAACGGAGCTGGAGACAGTATCCTGCAATCCCAAATAAAGAATGATCGATTGATAGGAAAATGAGATGGGGAATTTTCCTGCAGACTTTTTGGGGGATTTTCCCAGGGTCTCTGGTCCATGGGATTTAAAATTATGAGTTTGGTGGTCCCTGAGGTCCAAAAGGTTGGCGACCCTTGGTCTAGAGTAGACCGTTGGTTTTCAACCTTTTCTTCACCACGATCTCCTTTTAAATACCTTTTGTACTGATGAACCACTAAGCCTTAACTCAAGCTTTAAATTATAACATTTCTTCAAGCCCTTGCAGACCCTCTGAGGGGTCCACACACCACAGGTTGAGAACCATTGATAGACTATGTTGGCTGCAAATGATGGCCTTTCTTTCCCAATATGTATGGCAGCCAATGTATATTCAGGCTGACCTTGTCACTGCTGGATCTTATTTTTTTCATGATGCATACAACATACCTACTCCACAATCTAGGATCTTAACTGCACCTCTCCTTCAGTGTATTGTTTTTTCTAGATCTCTTTGAAGAATAATTCAAGTACTAACTGGATACAATTTCCATACATTATTGAATTGTTTAATCATAGCAAATGGTCACATCTAACCATTATCGACATTATCAAACTCTTATTCCATCTTCTATTATACATTGACATTAGACTATATAGTCAATTTGGTGTAGTAGTTAAAGATACCAGGCTAGAAACCAGGAGATTGTGAGACTTAGGCAAAAAGCCAGTTGACTGACCTTGCGCCAGTCACATTTTCTCAGCCCTAGGAAGCAGGGAATGGCAAACCACTTCCAAAATCTTGTCATGAAAACTGCAGAGATTTGTCCAGGCAGTCATCAGGAGTTACGAATGAATTAAAAATGTGTATGCTTGGAGAGACAGGGTGGAGAGAAGGGGAGAGGGAGAGAGAATATAGTGGAGAATTTTACCCAGTAAATCTTGGGAAAAAGTTATTGTGCTAATAATGTTGAAATCTGTGTGAAGAAATGAAAAGAGTTTCCAACACAGATTCTATCCAGGTTAGAGATGATTTTGCCTGCACTAAAATCCTGGGTCTTGTTTCACACCAATTTCAAATCTTTATCTAAAGAACTCTAATTTTTGTGCTTTTACCAGTTTAAGTAAAGTATTTATATTTAGCTATTTCTGATCTCTTCTGATTGATGACATGGTGTTAAGGGGACCTACCTTTACAGTAAATTTGAACGCAAATATTTTGGCCAGGAAGACTCATTGGAAAAGGCCCTGATGTTGGCAAAGATTGAAGGCAAAAGGAGAAGGGGACGGCAGAGGATGAGATAGTTAGACAGTGTCATCAATGCAATGAACATGAACAGTGGATGATAGGAGGGGCTGGCATGCTATGGTCATTGGGTCATGAAGAGTCAGACACGGCTTAGTGACTGAACAACTAAGCCTTACAAAGGCTTCCCCTTTCAGTGATTCTGCTCCAAGAATCAATGTTCTGAGGAAACATCAATCAAAATCTTTGTTTTTGATTTTCTGGCAGTTAGAATCCCAGTTCTCACCAATTTATTTAAACTGCTTGCTTCAGTAATGTCTTCCTGGTGGAATTTAGAAGTTGCACAGATGCCTGGAAGTACTATTTTAGAAATACATAACTTTGATATTTGGAAGTGGAGACGAGAGGATAGGCTTTTTGTATTTTATATGGATGAGCTTTCCAGTGAAAGCAGACAAATGCCACGAAAAGGTATTATCCAGCAAACAGATCACAGAACAAATGAAACCCAGCAACTCATCCATATAGGAAATTACATCAGCATGTTGCTTTGTTATAGAGCGAGAGAGTGTTCATCAGGGTCAGCTGAAAGGGAAGCATCCACTCAGGCAATTGTTACATTAATTTCCCATGGCACCCAGACAGCTCTGGCAGGTTTAGAGTCGCACTCCATATCCAGGGGGGGAAAGGCCACATGGTCCATCAGGTGAAGTGCTAACAGTTCCATTGTTTTTTTTAAAAAAAATCCTTCAGGGACCCTGAGAGATACACTTGAGAAAAAGCCGTGTAATGCAAATCAATAAATGCAAATAATCTGAGGTAAAACTACTTACTTTGTTAGTGTTACACAACACAAAAGAGAAAAAGAGAGACTTTGTTCATCTTATTGCTCTCTATTCCATTCCCCTGTATTTTAATCTTTATTTTTAAAAAACACTAGATGAGAAACATTGCCTTTTTTATCTGTTCAACTGCTATCTAATAGCAAGGGAAAGATAGGATGCACAGCCATTACTCATTACTCAGCAATCTTGTTGTAGTCATCCATTTTATTTTTTTCACTCACTCACACACCCATTGGGGATGATTGGAAGACTAGCGTAGCATAGTAAATATGCCTTTTAGATGATAAAAGGGATAAAAAATGTGCAAAAAGTTAAATAGTTTCAATAGCACCACAGTATGGGCATACGGTTTAGGGCTAAATAAAGTAATCTCACAAGAGGTAAACAAAATCAAATTGTATTTTTTTAAAAACAAGAAAAACATAAAACCCCAAATATTGAACTTCAAATGTTTATTTTAAATGTTAATAGTGTATAAATAATGTTTGTAAATAGTATTGTGTGCACTTTATTTTTATTTATTTATTCAATTTCTATAGCCACCCATATCCATCAATGACTCTGGGCGGCTCGTAATTTAAAAAAAATAGATATGACAAAAAATAGATACAATAAAAACATTTTAAAATATAAAACATAAAAAACATCTGAAATAAACATACACAGTAGTCTATGTACTTGGCCATTTAAGAACAAAGCAGGAAACTGGGCCCCTTAGCACATTCATGCAAATTAAAAGTATGTTACATCTTCAGAGTTATTTGGTTGCTTTAGGTCAGCCAGGTTTTGGGCACAATGATATTGAAGCAGAGATAGTCATGATGATCACGTGGCAAGAGAAAATTACAAAAGAAAATGCTCCAGGCACATCATAAGATGATTACTCTTTACTATAAATGGAGCAATCCCAGCTGGACAGACGTCTGGTGAACAGATTCCAAATTAAAACAAACAGAATATTACAGTAAAAAATAATATCTTCATGGACATGTCTGAGATATGATTAAAAGGCTGAAGGACATATAATTCCTGAACATGCAAGAGAAATAAAACTAATAAGTGCATATGTCACTTTATTCAAGTAGAATAATCTTCAAACAAAGTCTTTCTGCTTTCTGACCTTCCTCTCTTTTTCCTGTAAATGCCAGGCTTTAATCTGAGGCTGTTGGGGAACACTGTTAGCTCTGTGCCTCCCTCAGTCTTGTTTCTCCAGTTGGACCTCCTTGATTAAAATTACTTTTTTTCCCCTTCATTCAGTAAAGGGAAGAATTGGGGCATCTGACTCTATGTGTATAATAAAGCATATTTTTCCAACCTTTTCACCAAAGAAAGGAATATGAATACATACATACATACATACATACATACATACATACATACATACATACATACATACATACATTTGTTTTTTTAAGTTTTCGCGGGTACTTACATGTATGGTATTCAGCTTTGTTCGGGTATTTTCCCACATCATTATAGTTGTGCTTTTAAAGTTGTAGCAACGTTTTGGCAGAATCTCATCTGCCATCATCAGGCTTCTGTATTGTGTTCGTTGTGTGTGTCAGACTTTCACAGGCGAACACTATACAGAAGCCTGATGATGGCAGATGAGATTCTGCCAAAACGTTGCTACAACTTTAAAAGCACAACTATAATGACGTGGGAAAATACCCGAACAAAGCTGAATACCATACATATAAATACAGAGAGAGGGGGGAGGGAGGGAGGGAGGGAGGGAGGGAGAGAGAGAGAGAGAGAGAGAGAGAGAGAGAGAAGAACTAGACATAGTAGACTACTATATATACCTTGGCCAACAGATCTCAATGGAAGGTGATACAATAAAGGAAATTGAATGGTGTGTTAAATGTGGTTGGCAGGCATTTGGCAAACTAAGCATAATTTTCATGTACAACCTCTCCCTATGCCTGAAGAGAAAAGTTTTTGATCAGTGTGCGTTACCTGCTCTAACATGTGCTGGTGAAAAATGGACACTAACCTCGCAAAATCAATACAAAAGCTACAAATGGCGCAAAGAGCCATGGAAAGATACATGCTCAGCATTACAAGACAAGATAAAAAGACCTGCAAGAGAAAAAAAAGAATTGAAATGGAAATGGGCTGGTCACATAGCAAGAAGAACTGATGGCAGGTGGTCCAAGGCAGTCATAGACTGGATGCCATCTGATAAAAAGCATCCATTAAAGAGACCTAAAACAAGATGGATCAACAATATCAGCAAGTACTCCGGGCTCAGTCAGCAAAAGAAAACTCAGGACTGTATTGGTTGGAAACATGCGGAAGAGGTCTTCATCCTGCAGTGGATAGACAATGGCTAAAAATGATGATCACGATCATGATCATGATCATGATCATTATCACGATGATGATGATGATGATCACAATGATCATGATGATGATCATGATTTTTCCAACTGAGGGGGTATGTATTATGAATTGCTGCAATTTGCATGAGACAATGTTCGTGCTTTTTGAGATCTGCTGGCTGGCAAAGGAACAATATTGACAACACACACATCCAGATCCTTGTGCCTGATTAGTCTTCAGTTTTTCAAATACCAACATGGCTGGGGCCAAACTGCCATCTCTCATTTGTTACATTGGTTAAAACCTTTGGGATTCAAAAACTCAACACTGAATATTGACATCTATCTTAGCATCTTCATAAACTTCCATCGACAATACAATCTGGTTTTCCTCCATTAGCACTAAACGTGACAGTCGCTCAGAGTTATTTCAAGATCCAAATCTGGTAGAAACCACATTTGCTAAAATATTCCTATTGATTGACCTTTCATAATGGAAATGTTCAGCATATATAGTTATACTAATTGGATTGCTGACCGTGTATCTCTTGCAAAGGATTCAATAGTCTGTAAAGAAGGAGAGGAGTGAAACCTCATTTCCTCTTTGAGATTAAAATGTAGCTAGCAAAGTAAACAGTCTTCCTTCCTTAGTTATTTCAAGCTCAGGTGATATGAAAGGCTACTTAAGTTAAATGCAATATTGTCATTCCGCTTTCATACTTTTAAAATGATTTCATTTTCAGGAGGTGGGGTAGAGTGGGGAGAAGAAAGGAGAAGATCTTAACCTTAAGATCTTGGATCTTAACCTCCTTGAATTCAGCCATGGAATTGCCAGTACTATTTGTGCATTATGTAGTGTTCTCTTCATAACATCTAAAATCCTGAAAAATCAGAAAAATCTTCAATATATCCAGATGGCATTTGAATACTGTATATCTCTATATCTATCCATATCTATATTTCAAACTCCACATAAACATGTAGAAGATTAAAAACAGGGGCAGCAGGCACAATTCTCCTGCCTTCTTTTTATTTGTGGGGGGAAATGTAAAAGGACTCATATGGACAATAACCAAATGTAGAAGTCAGAATCATGCATATGTACCAGGCCTAATCAGATTTCTGACTTCAGTTTATGAATGCATACTAAATGCTAAACTCTGGATAGCTAGTAGTTGGTAGCAAAAACGTCTGGGTAATTGTTGCTATCAGCATGCAGTTGCTGGGAGGTTTGCAATCCAGAATGATACTTCTAATTCATAGCAATGTATTCTCTCTATATTATAGTTTTGGAGGTTGGACTGAATGACAGGAAATGAAGTACATCAGTCCTTCTGCATTTCCTCTGAAATTCTTAGGGCTTCCACAGAGCCACCTGAGTAGACAGCCAGGATGGGCCATTGTTCAGCTAACTAATGACTCAAATATGAAAAGGCATCTATTTGGCTCCAATTATGGCAAAGTCAATAGGGAGCTTTTTCATAAAGCAGCTCTGTGACATAAACATTTGATGTTTACTAGAAATTCAATTCAATAAGCACCAGTATGTAAAACAAACAGAATAGCAGAGGTGCATTAAAATAAACAAAATGGATTAATAACGTATCAGATTAATAAAGACTTTGAATCAGACATGACATGACCTGTATTGGAAGCTGAAGGAATTATAGTGATTAAATTGAATATAAGCCAAAATGCTGCCTGGCTGCATTATTAAACTGGAATGAAGCAGCTGGAGCTACGACACATATGACTTCATAACAAAAGACAGAAGCAAATTATATCGAATGAAAGGGAGGAGGAAAGAAGGACTTATGCATTGCTATCAGCTCCTGTTTCAACTTGAGGAAAACGCAGATAAGTAGTTTTAAAAAGCTTTGGCCCCTGACGTTGGGGTGAAATCCTGCACATTATGTAGCAGCAGAGTTCCCACATCCAGCAAAAAGGCTTGTCACATTTTGAAGTATACAAATTACCATCAAAACAACCATCCACCACCCAAGGAAAAAGACATTCAGGTCAGAGTGTGAAATTACCTGTGATTATTTCCCCACTAGCAGTTTGTTGTTGTTTTTTCTACAGTCATCCAAGCATTGTTGTGTCAGGAATGGGGACAGGCTTTACACTTTAGGCACAGCTTGTTTGAGCGGCCTGATTCCTGGCATGCTGTGGCCCAGTGCTGGTCCACAGACCAGGGGGTGGAGACCCCTGTTCTAAGTCACTAATGGAGAAATGAGCTATAACAAATATGGCTGTCATTTCTAGGAATAAACACCCAGTATTTTTCCCAATCTGGTGAAAATTAAGTAAATGAATACAGATGTTAGTGCTTTTATCTCCCAGAAAGAATCAGGCCAAGAATTTCTTACCTGTGCCCTTTCAACCTTCCAAATTTCATTTATTTCTTGTTAGAATTATATCCAGCCTTTTGTTTGTATGAATCCCCTGGGTTCTCATTATTAAAGTTCAGCCATATTTTTATTTTTTGAAATTAAAAATGGGAATGGAAAGCCTTTGGAGCAAAGTTCTCCCATTCCTACTTTTAAACTCCACAAAACTGTGAAAAAGAGCCTGACATTCTCTTGAAAAAGATGGTTCTCACTGTTGCAAAAATTTGAGAAGTTAAGGTTGGAGAAGCTTACCTACTCAAAACTGACCACTTGATTGTTTTCTACTTCCATACTAGACATTCATTCAAGGCTTCTCCACTCTTACTATAAGAGTCATTTCTCTATAGCTACAACTGTATCTATAATTGATCTATTTTCTTAATTATAAATAAGGTTACTTTCTGTTAAAAATATGGTTAATTGTCAGCAGAGCTTAGTGTTTTCTGCATTTTATAAATTAGCAAGGGAAAAAAAATAATCCCTGGATAATAAAAATTCTGTTCCACAAAGAGCTATGTTCTGTAGCATGCATAAATTGAGCAAACTGACACTACATGATTCCCAGCTTTGCAGAATTAATTTTGTTAAACCCAAACACAGCTGCTTTTATGGAAAGAAAAGTACATGGGGAACGCTAAAAAGAGAGCTCCAATATAATCTGAGAACTCAAGGGAAAAATGTATTCTACCTTTAGTAACTGCTGGTCTCCTCCTTAGGGAACCTTACTACACTGTTATTATAGGTTTGCACTTGGCTGCCCTGCAAAGAAGAATAGGGGGAAAATTCTCTTGCTTGAGCATGATGCAACTCATGAACTAAGAGAAACAATTAAAACCAATAAGTGGACATTAGTTCTGGAAAGCATTCACTACAATCAAACACAATTCTGTCTTCAAGAAACAAATGGAACAGTCATCCATAGAGAGTACAGAGTTTGCCTGGCTGTCTGCAAGGATGCAGCAGTAGTGAAGAAATATCCGGATACTATATAGCGGAGAGCAGGTCGAGCTCAAACATAATAACTGATGCTATTGAATCTTGTAGATTACTGTACATGAAGGGAATTCTAAATTTGCTTTCCTATAATCAGCAATTGTCTTGGGCTTTCATTCTTTATCAAGGTGCCAATAACTTGTCACCAACTTCTTTAATATATGGTGGCATCTTGCTCCTGGTTTAGATGGGATTGTACTCCTCCTAAAGGAGCAGAGGAACAGCTTGAATCCAAGTTGCAATTACAGATTCAATGATACTAGTTATTTTCCTGAACAGAGTTAACCTCCCAAAGCGATCCAATTTCTGACCCTTTCCTGGTCAGATTTCTGTCACGCCATAAACATGGTGCCAGCCTTAAAAATGGTTGAGAAGTTCCAATTATTACAGAATTCTAGTGCTAAAATTCTGGTTCTTTGTGTCAGAAACACATACAAAGTACAGACATTCAACACAAAGTGAATAAAATAGGTATAACATAGGTCACAGAAATATAGCACATGTAAAATGTATGATAGAATATATAGAATTGAAACTAAATTACATTTACCCACTATTGGGCCATGTCGACAGCATTTTCTCTCACCAGCATGGTCTCCCTCCGTACATGTTGAAAGACATCGTATGCACTGTAGGAAGTTATCACCCACCCCTCTCCTAGAAAAATGAAATATCCTAAGAAATATTAAAAAGGCAGAATATTTCCCCTAAAAAGAGTAGAAACTCAGAAGCAGAAACTCACCCCCACCTTTGTTAATGGGTGGGCCACGAAGGCCTGGGCCAGAATATTTTACATAACAAAGATCTCCAGGTAGAGCTGTAATAGGAATTGCCCAAAACCCTTTCATTACATCATCATCCAGCACGGATCAACCAAGCCTGGCACTTAGGACAGCCTATAGAGTTGCCCCTGCATGGCCCCAATCAGAATACAAGCTCAAATTCAAATCCCAACAGAGGGTATATAAGGGACTCTCAGCATCTCAGGCCTCCCTTCTTTTCCTTCACCCAACATCTTGAAGCATGTGATCATCCTTTTCACTTTGGAGCTCCAAGCCATGTGATCCTGTCCACCATTAAACCATCTTTCCAAACAGCCTTCATGTTTCCAGTGTCTTTTTCCCCAATTGGAACTGAACCCAGAAGGATATTTCTTCCAACAGTACTATAACAAAATTCTAGTGGAGCCATATCATTATTAAATAAGCTCCACTGGCACAAAACCAGTGGAGCTACAAACTTTAATTTCAAGGCATTTCTAAGGTAAAAGGTGT